TAAAGTTAAGTGGAAACGTTGCCGTTACGTAGCGCTAGCATCTCCTGATTTCCTCTACAAATTTATCACTTTCGACCAATTTGGCGCTAGTATCGATAAATTATCTGCTGAAAATTGCCACTTGGCGCTACCAGCACTTAGTGTCTAGTGTAAGTTTTGCAACGCCAGCGCCATCATGTTGTCAAAGAGAGTGTGGGGAAGTCGCCGTTATTGGCGCTTCAGTCGAATAGGAATCTTTACACAAGTTTTTAGAGAAATTTTGGAGCCTAAACGTCTGTTCCCTGTGGCTATCTTATATCGAGCTCTTTTCAATAATTGCAACATGTGAATAATGCAGAACAAGTTTAAAATTGTTCTAGAGCCAAATTGGTTTTGAAGGAAGGTCAAACTACAAACGAACAGCTCAGCCACTTTGAACCGTATGAAAATTATGCTTTCCCAATATGGTACATTCTCTCACTATAAACCTGTCATTTCTAGCCTATCTGAACTATTTAATAAATGGAAGCCATAACATGGGAGGAGCGTAACCTAAGCGGGCCCTCCGCATCCTATCTCTGTCTTATCTCAAATGCCAATGGTTTGAATGTATCAATATATACATTGGAAATGACGTTCAATCAAATAAACCCATACCCCACTCACTTGGCCAGGCTTCAGAATCGTCCAGTGGGCAGTGCGCTCTACACTCCAAGTTCCCTTTCTTTCAAATTTACCCCAAATTTTATATTTTACCCCTTTGAGTGTTGATTAATCACAATGAAACATTGTGACAGAGCACGGACTTGAGGTTACTAGAGTATTAAACAATCTAGGTCCTATTTAGAATTATATCTGAAAAATCCAAATTTGGCCAACGCCCACCAGAATCTCGAGAACCAATTGAGCTGTCAAATAGCGGAGCCAATCGAGCAAATCACGATCAACAACAGAAAAGAGCACATCAGCTATTGCGAACCTGAGTACTGCGATCTCAGCCGATTTTATTTTTCAAGTGAGCTAAATAGAAAACATCTTGAAAATCTGCCGAAGTTTAAAATTCTTTTGCTGAAACAGCTCACGAAATTGTATATATATGCTGTCAAATGAACTCTTGGCTCCTCCTCCTCTGCTCCAGAAATAACGTATACATGGTGATGGGAGTGCACCTGCCCACAAAGCTCACATGACTCTTATAAAGTTTGATTACATTCTTGTTTCAGCAACCCAGTTTTGGCATTATTAATATCAAATAAAAACACTTTTTCGAGCATCACGCTCGATGATTTACATTATTCGCCTACTAAGGTTGATGTTTCGACAGTTTCATAATTATAATTCTTAATTTGTTTTCAGTAGGTGGCAACACCTTTACTTGTGGTTCAAACAGTAACTACCTACGTGACTTCTGAGCACTTTTGAATGTTTGGCTCCCGTTTGACAGTTTGACTCGGCTCCCAGATGACAAGCATTTTGAGTTAGTTAGCAGTACTCAGTTGCGAACAAAAATTCGGAAACGTTTTACACGTGACTAAAGGCTTGCCTACGCAAACTAACACCAAATAATAATCACCGTTTTGTCGCGTTTTGTTTATAAAAGTTGATAGTACCTTTTCAATTGGTGGTCTACAATATATTAATTTTTTGCGCTTTTTGATAGATTTAAATTCTTTCCGCCAAACTATAAACATAGCGACTATACTGCCCATAATTGCATATCAGTCCCACTGTTGCTTGATTTCCTATCTATATGGGACTGTTGTGCGATTATGGGTAGTATAGTCTAGACCCTCTCTAGAATAAACCATACCTTACAGCAAAAATAACGAAAAATGTAAACACATCTTAGCCACAGACAAACAGACATTACTCTTAGAAGAAAATTCTTCAAAAACTATCGCCAAGCGTATTTTGCATGCGCACTAGCACCATAGAGGTAACTCTAAGACCAGAAGGTCCCGAAGAAATGTGCTCAACTTTTTGGCTCAGCTCTGGTACTCAGGGTTACTTCCACTCACTTGCTATAAAAAAATGTTTTTCGGAATTATGAAATCATGAAATAGTATAATGCTAATTAATACTTGTAAGTTACAAGAAGAGATCATGAAGTATATTTTTGACACATAAAATCTGTCAAAATTGCTTTCAGTGCGTCACAATCAGCGATTTTACGACTCGTGAGCGCTCACTCTGAGTGAACGCTCACGAATCATAAGATCGCTTATTGTGAGGCTCTGAAAGCGAAATTGACAGGTTTTATGAGTCAAACACATACCTTACACCCTCTTCTTGTTACTTACTAGTACCATAGAGGTAACTCTAAGACTAGAAGGTCCCGAAATAACGTGCTCAACTTTTTGGCTCAGCTCTGGTACTCTCTTCGGTCCCAAGCTAATCGATTCACCCCTCGAAACATAGGAAAATCCAATAACCCCTCATTTTATCTGTCAAACTTTCATAGCGAATCAAAACAAACATTGTGTAGTAGTAGAATTTCGACTAGAATGGGGTACGTTCATCGTTTGCTTGGGACCAATGGGCTAGTCAAGTAGTAAGCCAATTTAAAATCGTTAGTTTCGTATTGATTGTTGCTAGTACAACATATCATTATAACATCTAATGATTGCATAACTCAAAAAAATATTTTTTTATAGCAAGTGAGTAGAAGCAACCCTGCTGGTACTATCTTCGGTCCCAAGTTAATCAATGCACCCCTCGAAACATCGGAAAATTCACGAACCCCTCATTTTATCTGTCAAACTTTCATAGCGAATCAAAACAAACATGATGTAGTACTAGAATTTCGACAAGAATGGGGTACGCTTATAGATGTACTTGGGACCAATAGGCTAGTCAAATAGTGAGCCAATTTAAAATCGTTAGTTTCCACCGGTTGCTAGCACCATAGAGGTAACTCTAAGACCAGAAGGTCCCGAAGAAACGAGCTCAGCTTTTTGGCTCAGCTCTGGTACAATCTTCGGTCCCAAGCTAATCGATTCACCCCTCGAAACACAGGAAAATCCACTAACCCCTCATTTTATCTGTCAAACTTTCATAGAGAATCAAAACAAACATAGTGTAGTACTAGAATTCCAAATAGAATGAGATACGTTAATCGTCTGCTTGGGACCAATAGGCTAGTCAAATAGTGAGCCAATTTCAAATCGACAGTTTCGTATTGATTGTTGCTAGCACCATCCATCATACACATTCCCAAGCAATGTTTTGCAACCGGAGCATCCCTCGTGCATGTAATTTTTTCACTAGTTGCTTTTCCCTCGTTCTGTCAACGCGTCAGCTGTGTTGAATAAAAACAAAACAGATGGAAGTCAGTGATGTCGGTTCTATGAAATTTTCCGAAGATCTATAGAATTGATTGAATTCTGCAGAAATACGGATCCGTAGGAAAAACTCTCAGAAGCTAAGACTTTTTTTAGGGATTTGTTTTGTTTGCTTAGTGTGCTTTTTCTTTTGCTGGAAACAAGTTTTTAAACGAGGTAATGCATCACTTATTAGTGCCCTTTCTACCATCGCTCATCACTCATCACTACTCTATACACAGAAGAAAAAAATATATGTATCAATCAATGATATTCATGGTGAAGTATTGAACATCAATAACTGGTAAAAGTTGATAGAATATTACAGTCATCAACATGATTTGTTCTCGAATTCTGTGTACATCGTACAACGTAATATTAGGAACGGAATGACTAATGTGCAGCAGTTTTGATGTAATATTCAACAATTTTTTTTCTGTATTCGTCAGATGTGGTATGTGAGACACTGGAGACCAGTGGGATGCCTTGACCACTTAACATTTTCAAGAGCTGACATCTACTAACTAGACGTGAAAAAGAATTGACATCACTGATAAGTTCGAAATGTGATGGCTTGCACAATGCATCAGTGGCGCCACCATGACAAATGCAAGCATATTCCCAACTAAAACATTATTTGCGATGAATGTGATTGGGAGTATTATGTCTGTTTGTCTGTGTCTTAGCGTTGTTTTCTCAGCTCGATGATTTTCCAGATGGGACTGATATGCGATTATAGGCAGTGCACGTGTACGCCAAATCGTGTTGTTGTATTCGGAGCACTTATTTCTTGCTTCATATGAAATAAGTGCACCGAAGGCAACATAACGATTTTACGTAAACGGACACTTTTATCACACTTTTCAATAAGTGAATACGCCCTTATTTGTCCAGTTTTGGTGAGAAATGCGGAATATGTAGAACGAAAAGTGAACTTACTTGAATTTAAGAACCGCTCGAAAAAAATTAAGCGCGCCGTAAATCAATTGAGGGGTGAACGAAAGCTGTTAAAAAGCTTTTCTAAATAATATACCAAGGCAAAGCTTTCTACCTATACACTAGTACCGAGACTATAGTACAGTTATCAACAGTCTGTAATAAGGTACATCGGGGCAAGTTGAAACGGATAGCGTATCTAGAAGCGAAAGTGATTATCTGTCCATAAAAGCATATCAGTCCCATCTGGACAAACGGGAAAAACAGCAAGCCGAGAAAACCGGAGCTGAAAATTTATTTCTCCGTAGGCTCTCATGGATGGGACAACCTAGTTTTGGTATTTTTTTACGATATTTCCTGAACAAAACATGTAACTTTTAGTGTATAGTATAAAATGTCGGTAGTCTACAAATGATTCTAATGGATAACTCCTTTCTGATAAAAATCCATGGGACTGTTGTGCTTTTATGGGTAGTTATTAATTGTGCTTATTTTTCAGTGGCATTGTGCACTAGCACTAGGTTGAAAATAATCACATAAATGAACGATAACCCAAATGGTTTGAATGATACCCCGGACATGTCGTTAAGTAAAATAACCATACAAATGTGATAAAGGTACGCCTTCCGTTTCAACTTCCCCGCACGGTTTCAACATGCCCCGGTGTACCTTATAATAATTTCCTATCACTCACTTGTTGACAACATACTCATTTTATCACCTTAGCCTAGAGATAGATACTGTATTAGCTGAATAAAGTGCTACTTTAAAGACGTTGCAGATCGTGAATCCGCTCCAGATCATTTGTTCGTCAATTGGAAACTGCCTAACGTACTGCCAAATCGATTCCAATATAATACATTCACAGTAGCAGCAGTACAAGAAGCAAACGAACTTTGGAAAGTGTTTATTTTCTTTACACGACCTTTGCACTTCGAGCTTATCGTAGAACAGGAAGCAATATATTGTTAAACTAACAACGATAAGCACCCGGTCGCAAAAAAATGACCACGGGATCGCAACCGGCGCACTTGATAATCGAGCAGTTCGGAACGGTTCGCCGGATTACCATCAACAATCCCCGCAAGAAGAATGCCCTAAATCTGCAAGCCTATGAGGACCTGGCGGAACAACTTAATGCTGCCGATCGGGATGACCGTGTCGCAGTTGTGGTTCTGATGGGAGTCGGCAATTTCTACAGTTCCGGCAACGACATCAGTGCAATATTGAACAGCAATCAATCCATGGAGGAGCGACTGAACAGCTCCAATGGGAAGCTGTACGAAATGGTGAAAGCTTTCTATTCGTTTAGCAAGCTACTAATTGGAGTGGTCAACGGACCAGCCATTGGGATCGCTGCTACTACGGTGATACTCTGTGATGTCCTGTACATGGTGGATACGGTAATTAGTGGTTCAGACTGGATAGATGCGATAGATTATAGATCTACTTTCCCAATAGGCCTACTTCTACACTCCATTCTCAGCGCTGGGGCTGTGTTCGGAGGGATGCTCATCTTATACTTTCCCCAAGCTGATGGGACGTAGCAAGGCGTCGGAAATGCTACTTCTGAACTACCGAATGAGTGCCCAGGAAGCTCTTCAGTTCAACGTAGTAGCTGAATTGTACAAACAGGAGGAATTTGAGTCGAAACTGTGGCCTCGGATTCTAAAGTACGGTGAGCTGCCCGTTGGATCGATCAAAGCCACCAAGCAGCTCATAAAGCGGTTTGAACTGGATGAACTCGAACGAGCCAACAAGAATGAAGTCGAAACGCTTGCCACACGATGGACAACCGATGAAGCTTTGCATGCTGTTATGAATTTTATGACCAGAAAGAGTAAAATGTGATCAACGTTTTCAGCATTAACCGATGCCTGTAGGACGAATCTCTCTCTAATTTGGTACTCATTCCATATAATCACCCTGGATCGTATTCGAAAGAAAACAAGAATATTGGTGAATGACTACCAAATCAGAAAGAGAGATCCTTCCTGCAGTCATCGGTTAATTATTCAAAAAGTATCTAAGTACGAGAATAGTAAAACAAACTTAAGCTACCAATGCCTTCTTTCGTTTCTATCTGTCACGATCACAGTTTCTTAACCATCGGAAAAAGCGTGTCTATATTATTATGGTACTATCTACAAACAAGAAAAAGCTAAGTTACTTACAGTTAGGACGATGCTTCTACGGTCCTCGCCTGTTGTGGCCTGGCAGGAGAGGAAATCAATCCCAACAATTGACAGTCCGCTTCGAGCAAGGTAAGATCTTTGTCCGATCCTAGAAACCGTGTCGACAGTTCGAGGTCACGAATACGCAGTCGAACTCGGGCTCCACGGACATATTCCCTATAAATAAAACAACTTCCTCCGTAGAATCCTCTATCATAGCTGAAAAGGTTTTTGGATTATCTTACTCTGCATTCTTTACCGGCCTCGTACACACGCAATGGAACTTCCAACCGAAATCGATGTACAGATCATCATCCACTACGTGGAAAATCTTTCCGGTCACAACTTTATTCTCCGGATCGCCAAGCTAGAATCAATACCCCAATTAATCATTAGTATTGTTGAGCAGTTTTGGAACGACGTTCCATAACCCAAAATTTCAACTTACATCCACAAACTTTGAATTCCTCATCAACGAAGCGAACGTTTTGGACGGTTCCTCGGTTCCCTTCTCGTCCACCGCCGAGGCATGCTTCTCGAATGCCTTGGCGAATCCACTCAGCTTACGTTCTTCCTGCTGCTCTGGTTGATTTTCACCGGTTTCGCTAGCGGGTGTTTTAGAGCCGCTGCAAAATCGTACCGCGGCAGAGGATATCCGCTGCGATTTCCACACGGCTTCGAGTGGTCGTTTCAGGATGGAAACTTTGAATAAGTACGACATTTTCGTAATAATGTGGGCTAAAAATCCGGAAAACTTGAGCCGACAAACGCGTGAAGGGTAGTTTTGTAATCAAAAAATAATTTTGACGTTTCTCGTTGGTGTTTTGACTTTGAGATTTTGATCGATAAATCTCGCGTCACTTTTCAAAAAGACCAACAGCCTGGTACGCAGCTGAAAAGAAGACGGCAAAGTAATTGGAAGATTGCCGCAAAAGCTCAACGCAGATGTCGCCACTGCATGATGATGATAATGTTGACAGACTGCATATAAAATTCGTGAAAATTAGCATTAAATCATAATTTTCATCAAGCCTGCGTGAAATCCTTCCAATATAACATTCGAATTGAAGAAGAAAACGTTTTCTCGATCAGACTGATGTGCATCTTTGACTTTTCCAGGTGAACTTTCATAAGATATATTCATTTCATTTCACGGCTCCATTATTGCTGCATCGTAAATATGATGGTAAACAAAAGTAAATTGCTCAATTACTCAAAATAGAGATGATTTGTCATCTTGTTTTCACTTTGAAGACCATCTAGCACCATTTTATAGCATGGTGCGTGTTGAGTAAATCAAGTTCCGGTGCGTTTTCCGTCGAAAATTGTGAGTATCAATATGGTTGCTTAAAAAAGGCCAAAATGAACATTTATTGAATATTAGCGTCCTAAACAACCAATTCTTTATTACCACCAGCATGATACAACCTTTCATAAGTAAATTCACTTAATTTCCACTTTCATCTTAGTGAAAATTGCACGTATTTACCAGTTTTCTGAAAAATGCAGCTGCGCAGGAGGTAACCTCTCCCTGTGGGTGCAAACTTGTTATGCATAATTTGCCATGAAAACATCTCCGATCCATACCGAAATAATAACAAATAGTTTTCAAACACGTTTTCTTACACGATTCAAGCAAAAGTTTCCACGGGAAATTATTAGTTTTTCTTTATGGACCGATTTGCCCCAAAAAGCGTCTGTTTTACTTGGAAAATTTGGAAACTATCCTCCTTCTAGTAGTTCTCACATCGAAATGTAGGTGGCGAAAGCTTGGAAAAGTTTCACTGCAAGACGCCAATTTTTGAGGATTTTTCCCAAAAGAAAATTTGACAGCTATAGTCTGCTAAATTTTGAGATTATAGGGAGATGTGGTCAAATTGTATAATCAACACTTATTAGTGTTTATGTTGTTTAAATGCATCCAAAACATCAGTTTTGCAATAAACGCCAACATTACCTAACGGAATAATTGATCAGACCATTATTCCGCAAGGAAAGTGAAATTGCATTCAGAATGCGCCACCTTCATGTCGATCACGATAGTAATGTAATCGATCTTTCCTTTACCGATTTCTTTTGAACTGCGTACTGGGTCAAGAAATACTGAGGAAAAGTAATTTCTTTTGCATTCCGTGTCCTATCCGGTAGCACATAAAAACGTCATTACTTTTCAGCTGCGTACCAGGCTCTATCCGGTAGAGCCTGGTACCAACAATCAATACGAAACTAACGATTTTAAATTGGCTCACCACTTTAGTAGCCTATTGGTCCCAAGCAAACGATTAACGTACCCTATTCTAGTTGAAATTCTATTACTACACTATGTTTGTTTTGATTCGCTATGAAAGTTTGACAGATAACATCAGGGGTGTGTGGATTCATGCAGAACATGCAGGGGTGAGTGAAATAGCTTGGGACTGCTTGGGACCGTTGTTCTGGTACTGAGTGAGCCAAAAATAATAATGATTTTCTTCGGGACCCAGTGGTCTTAGAGTTACCTCTATGCTGGTACGCAGCTGAAAAGAAAACGGAAAAGTAATTTTTGAGGAATATTCCCAAAAGTAAATTTGACAGCTATAGGGAGGTGTCTTTTGCTAAATTTTGAGATCATAGGTAGGTGTCGTCTAATTATAAAATTAACAATTATCAATTTTTATGTTGTTAAAATGCATCCAAAACCTCGTCCAAAACATCATTTTTACAACAAACGTTAAAATTTTTTTTTTTTTTTTGTATAGTAATTTATTTGATAAGGCTCAACCGAATTAACTTAACAGAGCCGAGGATTCATGGTCACTATACAATACATCTTAAAGCTATAGTCAAAAGGTACAACACAATAAACACTTTATCTTCCGCTATCCAAAAAGCCTCCTCCATCAGAACTGGAGCCGCTTCCAGTAGTTTCATTGTATGGCAAATTGTTGTACGCCAACGAGGGTCAGAGCGCGTCCATTGCAGCAATGGACGCAAAACGTGGTCAGCACTCACACACTCATCACGAAACGGTTGCTTTCCAAAGTCGACGACGCATCGACCGAAAGAACTGCTGATGAAGAACAATGAGGAGGACCACACAATGGTTGCTGCCGAGTAAACAGACGATCGCGTAGCACACATCGAGAATGGCCTGCTTTTGTCGACAGCCGAGTGAACACTCTAAACGTTAAAATTACCTAACGGAATAATTGGTCAGACCATTATTCCGCAAGGAAAATGAAATTGCATTCAGAATGCGCCACCTTCATGTCGATGACGATACTAATGTAATCGATCTTTCCTTTACCGATTTCTTTTGAACTGCGTACTGGGTCAAGAAATGCTAATTAAAAGAAATTTCTTTAGCATTCCGTGTCCTATCCCGTAGTACGTACTTTTCAGCTGCGTACCAGGCTCTATCCGGTAGCACATAAAAACGTCATTACTTTTCAGCTGCGTACCAGGCTTAAAGCCTGGTACGCAGCTGAAAAGTAATGACGTTTTTATGTGCTACCGGATAGGACACGGAATGCAAAAGAAATTACTTTTCCTCAGCATTTCTTGACCCCCCTAATAAAAATTGTATGGTTAATTTGCTTAACGACGTGTTCTGGGTATCATCCAAACCATTTGTGGAATAGTTCAATGATTTGGGTTATCGTTCGTTTATGGTTATTTTTTATTAGGGCCAGTACGCAGTTCAAAAGAAATCGGTAAAGGAAAGATCGATTACATTAGTATTGTGATCGACAGGAAGGTGGCGCATTCTGAATGCAATTTCACTTTCCTTGCGGAATAATTGGAAGATTGCCGTAAAAGCTCAACGCAGATGTCGCCACTGCATGATGATGATAATGTTGACAGACTGCATATAAAATTCGTGAAAATTAGCGTTCAATCATAATTTTCATCAAGCCTGTGTAAAATTCTTCCAATATAACATTCGAATTGCAGAAGAAAACGTTTTTACGATCAGACTGATGTGCAACTTTGACTTTTCCAGTTGAACTTTCATAAGATATATTCATTTCATTTCGCGGCTCTAACAATGCTGCATCGTAAATATGATGTAAACAGAAGTAAATTGCTCAATTACTCAAAATAGAGATGATTTGTCATCTTGCTATCACTTTGAAGACCATCTAGCACCATTTTATAGTATGGTGCGTGTTGAGTAAAGCAGTTCCGTTGCGTTTTCCGTCGAAAATTGTGAGCATCAATATGTTTGCTAACAAAAGGCCAAAATGAACATTTATTGAATATTGGCGTTCTATACAACCAATCTCCATTACCATCAGCATGATACAACCTTTCCTGAGTAAATTCACTTAATTTCCACTTTCATCCTAGTGGAAATCGCACATATTCACCATTTTCCGAAAAATGCCGCTGCGCAGGAGGTAACCTCTCCCTGTGGGTGCAAACTTGTTATGCATAATTTTCCATGAAAACATCTCCGATCCATACCGAAATAATAACAGTTAGTTTGCAAACACATTTTCTTACACGATTCAAGCAAAAGTTTCCACGGGAAATTATTAGATTTTCTTTATGTACCGATTTGCCCCAAAAATCGTCTGTTTTACTTGAAGAATTTGGAAACTATCCTCCTTCTAGTAGTTCTCACTTCGAAATGTAGGTGGCGAAAGCATGGAAAAGTTTCACTGCAAGACGCCAATGGTCTGATCAATTATTCCGTTAGGTAATGTTGGCGTTTATTGCAAAACTGATGTTTTGGATGCATTTAAACAACATAAACACTAATAAGTGTTGATTATACAATTTGACGACATCTCGCTATAATCTCAAAATTTAGCAGACTATAGCCAACCGGTGAACACTCGTGTTTATTTCAGTTACCATGGAGACGTAATTTGTGATTAGCCCCGGTCCCTTTCAAATTGTATCATTATTTATGAACGGCCTTATATTTGAAATGACGTTTCACATTCATCTAGTGATGTCCGATTTTCATTCGAATAATCGTTTAATCGATTAACGATCCGAAAAGTAAACTATTTATAATCGGTTAGATCATGCCGATATAAGCATTAACATCTCCACAGGATCATCACCGATCGTTTCAAACATGTGCTGCACTCTCATTCGTGGAAAAATGGCAGCACAGCGAGCAAAAAATAATCGATTAGTTGTTAATCGAGTAATTAAAAAATGGGACATCTCTGATTTTGGTGTGATTGTTTTGATAAAAATGAGCGCAAAATTTCATCTTTTCCGAGGGGGCAGCAAAACCACAAAATTACCTTGAATACGGGGGGTTCTCATTGGATGAAAGGGACCGTGAAAGAAGACACTAAAATAGAAAGTTTTTCTTCCGACAGTTTCATCTTAGTATTCATCTTTGCTATAGCTGTCAAATTTTCTTTTGGAAAAAATCCTCAAAAATTACTTTTCCGTTTTCTTTTCAGCTGCGTACCAGGCTTAAAACTGAAAATGTATTTTCGTTAGAGCCGTAAAGGCCCAAACGCAATGTAGGCGGAAACGGAACGGAAACGGAAAGTTTGACAGTTGTCACTAATGACATCAACATGCCTAACCGAAGTCGATTTGGATCTAAATAGTTTTCAATCCGACAAGTAGGCTTCCCATAGAGGTAACTCTAAGACCAGAAGGTCCCGAAGAAACGAGCTCAACTTTTTGGCTCAGCTCTGGTACTCTCTTCGGTCCCAAGCTAATCGATTCACCCCTCGAAACATAGGAAAAACCAATAACCCCTCATTTTATCTGTCAAACTTTCATAACGAATCAAAACAAACATTGCGTAGTACTAGAATTTCGACAAGAATAGGGTACGTTAATCGTTTGCTTGGGACCAATAGGCTACTAAAGTGGTGAGCCAATTTAAAATCGTTAGTTTCGTATTGATTGTTGGGCTTACTCAGATCGTGCTCACCGACCGGTCGCTGTTATCGCGGTTATCAATTTACTCGCCGTAGTCCGTACCGGTAGTGAACATTTTGACATTTCTACGAATAGCAACCTTTCTCCCGTGCTGCTATCAACAGTTTTAAGCCCATCAACAATTACAAATAATGTTGTAGTTGTAATTATCTGACCTCCAAACCGTATTCTTTCCAAGGTCCTAAGTAACATTAACATTTGCAATCAGACCAATTTGTTAGGTCCTAACTGATACTGAAAAAAGCCAAAGGTCCTATCTAACAAAACCACTAATTAAACCTGAAAATTATGAATAAAACGAAAAAACATATACTTCAGTCGAATTCTAAGTGTTTCCTATGCATTTGAGAAAACAAAAGATTATCGTTTTATGTCGTAATTAAAAATGGCATTTAAAAATATATTGCAAAAATTCAAATCAATGTTTCTCCAATCAGCTTCAATGACAGATAGGACCTTTTGAAATGTTTGTCTAGAATTACATGTGGTTTTGGTTCAGATCATGGTGGGTATATAAATGGTGATACAGCTTTGTCACTATATAGGCGAGGAGGTCGCGGGGGGGAAAAATGCGGTTTTAGGGCAAATTGTAAACAAACTCGGTCGCTGTCCCATACAAAAATCCAACATGGCTGAATCACGAATTTGACACATTAGAACACCTATATGTAGCCACTTTGGTTCAGATGTGCTCATCCACTGCAACCTGGTCTATACAAGGTGTGGAATTGATGGCCTGTGCGTATTGGTGCAGTTCGTTTTTCACGTGACCATAGTTTACCCATTAAATGAAGAGGGGCACTTTTAGCGGAAATGGGTGTTTTTATACCCATTAATGGGTTTTTGCGAAACACCGTAAAGGGCCTCAGGGACTCTAGTTTTCTTTTTGCGATTCAGCTAATAAACGTCAAATAACGCGAATTATTGACAGGTCAACATCAGTTGTTTGTAATGGAACGTCCATCTGACACCTACACCCTGAATAATTTTGGTATACGCTAATGCAGCAGCGATGTATAGAGCTTTACTTCAAAAATGAGAACGACAATGACCTTTCTGTCGTTCATAACACGCACACTTGCGCAATCCCATTTTCAAGTGCGAAGTTTGTTATCCTCACTTTCGCTTCAGCCAGATATGCTGGTTTGTTATTGTTATCCTCACATTCGGACCATCAATACTCGAGCGCATAGAATGTACCGAGGAATGCATATGCATGCAGGCTGCGCCGGCCCATGCAGGGTGGCCAGATGGTTTTCTTCGTTTGCCTTGGAATTAATATTATCGTTTCAAATGAAAACCTCGTTGAAAACGTTCTGTATACGTTAAACATAACGTCGGACATAGTGTGCTGTATTCGTACACTGATGCGGTATACAGCACACTATAGAGATTGCTGACGTTTATCGTACGCATACTACGTCACGTATACGTATACGCAAAATGTTTTCATCGGAAAAAAAAACTTCATAGCAGAAAATTTTCCCGATGAAAACAAATCACTGACACAATCATACTTTAGCAATCTCTATGGCCGACGTTATGTTTAACGTATAGAACAAGAGTAAAATCGGGTTTCAATTGAAACGATAATAATCAATTAAAACACTAATTAACTCTTGCACTGTAACGTCACCAGGGCATTTGTTTTACATACAAATAAACATTGACCACAGGGCATGCCACAATTTCCTTCAGTGATTTGAGGCTATCCCGCATAAGCGCGAACCATAAATTGACCTTACCTAAAATGGTTATAAATTGTTTATAATCCCTGCTAAACTTCAACTGAAATGGTTATGGAACTTTACATGAACGTTTAATGATAAAGTTTTAACCTTAAGTATTATAGTTTTTTGGAAGTGGACCTTACAAATAATGGGTTGTTAAGAACCATTACCATTCAAAATTCTTGTTTTCTCCATACATTTTCGGAAAGAAAACTATACTAAGACCTTTGAACTTATGGTTTGAGAACATTAATGGTAATGGTTATGGTAACCAGTAAGGTCCATGAATGGTTTTGTAACATCGATCAACTTTATGTGGAATATATCGCGAATTGGTTGCCTGTAAATTACTGATTACCAATTCACGATATATTTCACGTAAAGTTGAGCGATAATACAAAACCATTAATGGACCTTACTGACTACCATAACCATAACCATTAATGTTCTCAAACCATAAGTAAAAACGTTCTAATATAGTTCTCTTTCAGATAATGTATGGAGAAAACAAGAATTTGGAATGGTAATGGTTCTTAACAACCCATTATTTGTATGGTCCGCTTCCAAAAAACCATAATACATAAGGTTAAAACTTTATCACACAAACGTTCATGTAAAGTTCCATAACCATTTCAGTTGAAGTTTAGCAGGGATTATAAACAATTTATAACCATTATCGGTAAGGTCATGTGATGGTTCGCGTTTATGCGGGATGTCAGTCGTGTAAGAGTTAATGATGGTAAGCTCTACCTTGTAATCGCAATGTGCTATTTTATATGATTGCGCCGAGAATTGCGCATTGGGCACGGAAACACTAATAAAAGTGCGGTTTTACGTTAAATTGTTGTTGTGTCTTCATCATCCTTGGTGAATGAATAATAAGTGCGCAGAAGGCGTCAAGACGATACAACGTCTAAGTGCACTTTTATTAGCGTTTCCACTCTTCTAAAGAGTTCAATTTTATTTGCAATTAATAATGTCACAAAACTATGCATAGGAGGCATCACTGCACTGCAAGCCTCTTTTTATTGTTGTGTCATAGGATGTATTCTGATGTTTTATGCGTGCAACAAATTACACCGTGATGAAGTTTGATTCTAATGTAACGTTAGGTTCTGTTGTCATTGGATGTATTCTGATGTTTTATGCGTGCAACAAATTACACCGTGATGAAGTTTGATTCTAATGTAACGTTAGGTTCTGTTGTCATTGGATGTATTCTGATGTTTTATCCATGCAACAAATTACATCGTGATGAAGTTTGATTCTAATGTAACGTTTTATTCTGTTGTCATTGGATGTATTCTGATGTTTTATGCGTGCAACAAATTACATCGTGATGAAGTTTGATTCTAATGTAACGTTTTATTCTGTTGTCATTGGATGTATTCTGATGTTTTATGCGTGCAACAAATTACATCGTGATGAAGTTTGATTCTAATGTAACGTTAGGTTCTGTTGTCATTGGATGTATTCTGATGTTTTATGCGTGCAACAAATTACATCGTGATGAATTTTGATTCTAATGTAACGTTAGGTTCTGTTGTCATTGGATGTATTCTGATGTCAAATTTTACATCGTCAAGACGTTTGATTCTGATGTAACGTTTGAGGCTAATGTATTTTTATGTACTTGGACGTCACACTGAAGTCTGAATACATTAAGGGTACAGCAATACACGTTAAAATTTAATGTATTGAAGATGTCTGCTGATGTTTTCTACATTACAATTTCTATTCGGGACTCGGCTTTCAGTCGGCTTCGCACGATTTGCTTCTTCCGTACGCTCAAACACGCTCGTAGTTACGTCATAACGTTTGTTTTAATCAGCGTTTGCATTGGAAATTGAATATGAATTATAGAATTTCTGTATGAAGCCAACATATATGATTTTTTTTCCACTGAATTTTGAGATAATGTATTGATTATTTTATTAGCACACTGTATACCAGGAAAAAGCAGCCTCCTGGTCAGTTTTTGTCCGTTTTCAAGTAAGTAGCTACTATAAAAATACAAAACGGCTGCTGATATTTCCCGGATACTTTACAAAAGCATACAAGCAAGAGCAATCATCATGCAAACATATCTAGAATTTGCTGTACTTCATATTTCACAAATTTGCTTTCGACTGCTATGACGTCTGGTCATCCTCTCCAGCAATGTTTACCTTTTTCCCTCTACCAACACATACGGGAGGGCTAGATCTCCATACCTTGTATAGACCAGATTGCATCCACTGAACTTATTCTGAAGGTCTTCATCATCATCAAAATAAACACAAATTTTTATTGATGATGACAACAGCCGCAAACGCAGCAATGATCATTCCACCCACAATATTGATTAATCATTGCAGTGTTTATGTTTTCGTGCTTTTCTAAAGTAATCTGTGAAAATCTGTAATTTTTCGTAAGTTCCGGTGAAGAAACCCGCTCCGAAATGGCCAACATTTCGATGCAAGATATCGAAGCTGTCGACGATTATTGGGGTCCGACGTTTCGTACGATTTTGGAAGGAAACTCGCATGATCAAATTTCCGAACAACTCGAGTCCCGGATTCGCTCGCACGATAAGGACATCGAACGGATCTGCAATCTGTACTACCAGGGCTTTATCGATTCCATTCGGGAGCTATTGCTGGTGAAATCGCAAGCCCAAGGCCTGAATCAGGAAGTGCAAGCGTTGGACGATGGTTTGACCAAGGCGTCCGCGGGAGTGATTGCCAAAGGGAACGATTTGGTCAAGGCCCGGAAGGTAGAGGGGAACATTGCTGGAGCGATTGAAGGGCTCTCCAGCTGCCTGCCGGTATTGGAGTGCTACTCGAAACTGTTGAAGCAGGTACGGGAGAAGCGGTACTATCCGGCACTGAAGACGCTCGAAGTGTTGGAGAACGAGTATTTGCCGAAGGTTTCCGGCTATAAGTTCTCGCAGCAGATGCGGGAAACGATTCCAAAGTTAAAAGAGAATATTAAAAAGTCGTCGGAAGAGGACTTCCGGGAGTTTTTGGAGAATATTCGCAAATTTTCACCGAGAATCGGGGAAATTGCAATGAAGCATACGAAGGAACTGCAAAAGAGAGATTTGCATACGATCATTGCGGAGTACAAGCAGATGGCTTTGAATGGGGAGTGCGTGGATGACGAGGAAGACGTTAATGCACAGGATCTGATTGATTTTTCACCGATCTATCGGTGCTTGCATATCTATACTGTGTTGAATGACAAGGAGTATTTTGAGAAGGATTACCGCAAGCAGCGGAGGGATCAAGCCAAGTTGGTTCTGCAGGCTCCCCAGACGATGCACGATAATTTGGAAGCTTACAAGACGTACATTTATTCTATCGTTGGATTTTTCGTTGTCGAGGATCACGTAATGAACACGGGCGGTGAAATTGTGACCCAGACATATTTGGATGATTTGTGGTCTTCGTCGCTGACTAGAGCGGTTAACGTTTTGAGCATGTCGTCGGCGTCCTGCACGGATCCGAACATTCTGCTTCGCATCAAGAATTTGATCATGCTTAGCATCACAACATTGAAAAATTACGGATACACCGTATCGCAACTGTGGGATTTGTTGCTAGAAATGCGCGATCATTACAACGAGGTTCTACTCCAGCGGTGGGTCAACGAGTTCCGTGATATTCTCGATAAGAGCGATTTTCTCCCGTTGGAAGCAGTTAGTCAAGAAGAGTACGATGCCGTTTTGGAACGTTTCCCATTCCACTCGGAACAGCTCGAGGCTCAATCGTTCCCGAAAAAGTTCCCCTTCTCTCGGATGGTTCCCGAAGTGTACCATCAAGCGATGGAGTTTATGTACGCTTGCATGAAATTTTCCGAAGAGTTGACTCTTTCGCCGAATGAAATCGCTGCCATGGTTCGGAAGGCAGCTAATCTCCTGCTGACTCGAAGCTTCAGTGGATGCCTGTCGGCAGTTTTTCGCAGTCCCAGTTTGGCACTGATGCAGGTTATTCAGATCATCATCGATACGCAGTATCTGGAGAAGGCGGGTCCGTTTTTGGACAGTTTTGTATGCAAAATGACCGGCACTAGCCAGAACGTGACGCAAACGCCTTCGGCAATGTTTCAGGTAAATGTTATCTAAACATTGAATTAATTTCAACATTTCCTTAACGGTACCGTTCATTGCAGGTTGCCCGTTCGGAAGCCGAACAGCAAGTTTCTACCAAACTGTGCTCCAAGCTGGATGAATTCTTCGAAGAACTCGAAGGCTACGATTGGCTGCTGCCGGAAAGCTACGGTCACGCTTCGCCTTTCGTAACCGACATGATTGCCTTTCTGCAGAGTACATTCCAAAGCTTTTCCTACATTTTGCCAGGCGTTGCACATGCAGCTTGCCGAAAGGCTTGTGAGCACGTGGCGATCCGAATCTACAAGTTGATTTTGTCGGACGAAATTAAACAAATCTCTGGTGGAGCGTTGGATCAGATCAATCTAGATCTGATGCAGTTTGAGCTGTTTGCCGCTTCTGATCCGGTTCCGGGATTGCGGGAGGGCGATTTGTCCAAATACTTCGCCGAAATTCGACAACTGCTGGACCTGCTGATCTCCGAGGACTGGAGTGCCTATTTGCATGATTTTGGGAAGGATGACAATCGCTACTCGCTGGTCCATCCGTCGACGATAATTGTTGTGCTGGAGAAGCTTCGTGAAGCGGACAAGAAATCGATGCTCTCGCTGATGAAATCAAAATCCGAGAGGGATAAGAAGAAGCTGTTGGAAACGGTGCTTCGCCAGTTGAAGCAACTGGCCGAGCGGCAAAATTAGGGATATTTCGGATCCAATGACACGCCCCGACTAGTTTGCAGTTGAACGATAATTTATTATATATGTTTATGTATTCCCGTCATAATAAAGGAACCCATAATTTACGATTCTAATTTGACGCCTTCCAGTGCTTCAACGACTTCGGTCACTTGAAACTTCTCCTTGGGCTTGTCTACCGTTGGTGATATCGGTTCAGCCGGAGGTGCTGGCTCCTCCCTGGAAGTTTTTCTGGAATCCGCTTCCTTCTCCCTACCGCCATCAGCATCGCTAGAATTCTTCCTCCTGCTTCGTCTATCCTTCGGCCTTTCCCTGTCCGAAGCCTTCTTCGTAAGTTTGTGCCTCTTTTCTCTATCCTTCGCTCCGTGAGATCCCGGCTTCACACTCTTGTCGGAAGAACGGTCCGAATCGCTTTTTTCCTTAACCTTGTCATCTTCGCTCCTAGCGCTATCCTTCGAGCCGGCTGCAGTGCCGGACGCAAGTCGTTTTCTCGGTTGATAGATTTTGATCGATGGACGATCCTTGTTGCGAATTTTACGGGCTTCACGCATTTCTTTCAGCTTTTCATCGATGTCTGCTTTCCTGTCCGAACTGCTACTATCCGCGGCAGGAACATCCAGAACTGGAGTTGGTTCTTTCTTCGCGCTTGCTAATGATACATCATCCTGTTGCGTTGGAGTAGTCGAAGCCGATTTCAGCGGAAAAGCTGGAGGAAGAGCGAAAGAAGATTCCCCCAAAATGATGGTCGATTTTTCTTTCGGAATAAATGGTGCCACGTGAGGTGTCAGCATACTTTTTTTGATGTCCACTTTCGGCACGTTAATGGCCTGGAATTCTTCGCCGATTACTGGATTCAGGGCATCCTTACGATCTTTGTCCTCAAGTTCAGCGAGGCGTGTTTCTGCACGTGCGCGGGTTTCCTTCCTGCGTTCGCTGTATTTTTTTACCTCCTTTTTGGGGGCCTCCACCGGAATGGCCTTTTGAACTTGACTTTCGGGTTTAGGTGCAACTTCTTTATCCTTTCGTGGTGGCTCCCCGGAAGCTTTCTTATCCTTTTCCTCTTGCTTTCTCGCCTTATCCTTCTCCCTTCTCTGACGATCCCGTTCCTGCTTGCGACTCAATACTTTCTCCTGCTCTCCACCAACCTCATCCTTGTCCTGCTTGCCACGCTCCTTCTCCTTTTCCTTTTCTTTCTCCTTGCGATTTCTCGGCTTCTTCTCTTTATCTTTGACATCCTTGCCATCTTCCATCTTCTCGTTTCCTTTCTTACGCATATCCTTCTTTCCCTGGTTCGGATCCAACCTCGACGGAACCGTTCGAACCACAACTTCTTCCTCCTTTACCTTTTCTTTCTCCTCTTTTATTACCTCCGGGATTGCCTTCCCCGGTTGGCTCTTCTTGTGCCGATCCTCTTTCCGCTGCTTTTTCTTCTCTTCCATCTTTTTACGTTTCTCCTCTCGCTTCTCCTGCTTCTTCTGAGCTATATATTCCAGCAGTGGCGTCGATGTAATCTTTTCCTCGTCCTTAATCTTATAGGTGAACTCCAGCTTGCTTTTACTCTTTCCAGCCGTGTCCTTCTCTTCCGCTTCCAGTGCCTCCTTGAAGGCAATGAAGTGAGTATCCGTCTCAATCGTATCACACTTCACGTCCTTCTTTCTTGAACGATTCCTGGGCAACTCCTGAAACGGCGCAAACTCTACCACCGCTGGAAACTCCACCCCTTTAGCATCCACAAAAATATACCCATCAAACTTGTCCTTGAATAGATAGATATCCTCCGACCGGGTGAAATTTATGTAAGCCCTAGAGCAAGCGTTCTTCCCCAGTGACCAATCACCGGAAACGAAATAGAAATCGTCATGATCCGGAATCGGATCGATTTGCTTCCGAAACGTTTCCTCATCCATCGACGGAGGCAGCCGGCGGATAATAACCTGCAAACAAAATCACCACAATCAGCCTCGTAACGAAAATAAAACTAAAACAATACTTCGAAATGCAACCAACCTTCGTCAGCGGTTTCGGAACATCCTTTTTGGCCTTCTTGTTGCGCTTGCTGCCACTTCCATCCTTCTTCTCCTTTTTGGCCTTTGGTTTCATCGGTTCGGCCACAGCCGCACCCGCCGCCGTCTTCGCTGGGTGACCATTGTTGACAGTGCCATCGATAGCGGATTCCCTTCCTCGTGTTTCAGGCAGTTTCTCTTGCGCTTCCACCGTTGTGGGCATGATTCGCCGTTAGGTGGAGAACATTACTCGCTGGAAATAGATTAATGTTGAAAACACTTTCGCCGAATTGAACGCGTTTTCCGGGGTAATTGATTTGTTGGACACTATACGGAAAACAACACTAGCTGCGGAAAATTGCGTGTCCGTCTTTCTGAAAACTGTCAAATTGTGTTTTGGTTTGTTGTTTTCTTTTCCACCGATGATGACGATGATCGACGATGATGACACCGATGACACCGAAGGTACACGGCCATTGAGAATAATCCAAAGAGAGCGAGTCACTTCCCTAATAAACAAATTCCATAAACGAACTTTATCCCGGATTGGTAAACTATCCCACAAATGGTTTGGATGATACCCCGAACACGTCGTTAAGCTCTATTTTATGATTATTTTTATTAGGGTTCTAATCAGTAGTATGAGATATTTCTGAAAAACTGCAGGTACTCAGCGCTGAGTTCCTGAGGGCAGGAACTCAGCGCTGAGTACCTGCAGTTTTTAGAAATATCTCATACTACTGATTAGAACCCTAATAAAAATAATCATAAAATAGAGCTTAACGACGTGTTCGGGGTATCATCCAAACCATTTGTGGGATAGTTTACCAATCCGGGATAAAATTCGTTTATGGAATTTGTTTATTAGGGAAGTGACTCGCTCTCTTTGGATTATTCTCAATGGCCGTGTACCTTCGGTGTCATCGGTGTATACATCATGATAGAACCAAAACATTCTAGTTCAATTGGTGAAAATGCTAGTTCAATCCAGTAGTAGTGTTGCCATGTGGTACAGTCCAGTAGTGGTGGTGTTGCCATGTGGTACACTGAAAAATTGCAATAGCAGGTTAGTCACCAAAGTTTTCGAGCCGCTCCGTCTGTCACTTCGTTTGTGATATTACCAACTATGAATACGAAACTAACGATTTTAAATTGGCTCACTACTTGACTAGCCTATTGGTCCCAAGCAAACGATTAACGTACCCCATTCTAGTCGTAATTCTAGTACTACACTATGTTTGTTTTGATTCGCTATGAAAGTTTGACAGATAAAATGAGGGGTTAGTGGTTTTTCCTATGTTTCGAGGGGTGAATCGATTAGCTTGGGACCGAAGAGAGTACCAGAGCTGAGCCAAAAAGTTGCCCGCATAAACGCGAACCATAAATTGACCTTACCTAAAATGGTTAAAAATTGTTTATAATCCCTGCTAAACTTTAACTGAAATGGTTATGGAACTTTACATGAACGTTTAATGATAAAGTTTCAACCTTATGTATTATGGTTTTTTGGAACTGGACCTTACAAATAATGGGTTGTTAAGAACCATTACCGTTCCAAATTCTTGTTTTCTCCATACATTTTCGGAAAGAGAACTATATTAGAACCTTTTAACTTATGGTTTGAGAACTTTAATGGTAATGGTTATGGTAGTCAGTAAGGTCCACGAATGGTTTTGTAACATCGATCAACTTTATGTGGAATATATCGCGAATTGGTTGCCTGTAATTTACTGATTACCAATTCACGATATATTCCACGTAAAGTTGAGCGATAGTACAAAACCATTAATGGACCTTACTGACTACCATAACCATTACCATTAATGTTCTCAAATCATAAGTAAAAACGTTCTTATATAGTTCTCTTTCTGAAAATGTATGGAGAAAACAAGAATTTGGAATGGTAATGGTTCTTAACAACCCATTATTTGTAAGGTCCAGTTCCAAAAAACCATAATTCATAAGGTTGAAACTTTATCATTAAACGTTCATGTAAAGTTCCATAACCATTTCAGTTAAAGTTTAGCAGGGATTATAAACAATTTTTAACCATTTTAGGTAAGGTCAATTTATGGTTCGCGTTTATGCGGGTGACCACGTTATTTCGGGTACTATCCATATCAAGTTTATGTGTGAGCTATATAGATATTTCCAATAGCCTCATACCAATTCTTTTATGTGTAGGCCACATGAAAATTGTATAAGTGATACACATATAATTTATAAATTATTATTGATACGCCTCATAAGGCCTACACACAAAGAAAAGTCGTTGCTAAAATTAATAAAACCATTGGTAGAATTAAAAGTTTGCATTGGTTCTTTTTGGTAGAAAGCGGTTGGCTTTCAAAACAAAAGTCAGCCAACTGTTAAAGCAAAAGTTGACCGCTCACTACTTTCAAAAGTTAAAACTTTCAAAATAAATTGTACTACTGTCAAATTAAAAGCTCGGGAATGGTGGAATTAAAATTGGCATCTTTTCAATTCAAAACAAAGTTTCGGTTTAAAAATGTTATATTGTTGAAACAATAAATAACATTTTAAATAGAAAAAAACAAAATTTACATAGTTGAAGATGCTAATTTCAAATAACAGACTGTAGTGGTAATTTTTATACGATAGATGGAGTAGATGAAAGCATAGAGTTGATAGTTCCGTTAGAGTACGGCAGTGTGAAGATTGTATATAGATATTAGACAAGCGAGCTAGGACAACTTTTAAGGAAGGTACAAATCGGCCATATTTTGAATCTGTGATCCATTCATTTTTGAACATGGCACGCAGACCGTTGACGTTGACGGAGTTCAATGAGGCGTATCTGCATCTACGCGTTGATCATTTGCATCCCGACGAGGTTGACTTTGAATTAAACTCCCGTGGTGTTGTCATCCTTCCTGAGTCGGATAAATCGGGATCACAAAGACGTCGTCGTTTGAGGGGATTGCTGAACAGCGAGATAGTGCAAGCTACGAATGCTGTTCGGTCGTTCAAAGGGGATGCTCAAGTCGAATTCGGGACGTGTCGTGGGAAGTTTGAGTCCATGAGGGAAGATTTACAGTATAGGTGTCCAAATAAGGAGATATTTCGGAGCAGGTTACTTCATTTGGGAGTCCGGCTCCAACTCTTGGAAAAATATGTTGTAGGGGAGGAGTTTTCGGTCACTAGGAAATGTTTACAGGAAGTGATCGCTTTATGGGACTATCACTTCGGGGACAGTCCTGCCCCTACTCCGCCGACCAACGAGACGAAGACGAAGTTGGCGATGATGATTTGGTGGATCAAAATCCTGATCCGGAAATCACACCACAGAACCAAGATGGACAACAAGTTGTTGAAAATCCAAGTGACAAAACCGTAGGAGAAGAACTTTTGAATGTCTTACGTGATATAAGGGCGGAGATTAGAAGCGTACAGGACCAAATCTCGCTGAATGAGTCTCGTAGCGATATACGAGTAAGCTCTCTCCAACGTGCGGTCAAGAGCCTGAGCAGCGAGATAACTGTTATTACGAAGATTGCTGCTGATCTAAAGAAAACTAATCAGGAAGTTGAAGAGCTTCGTGATACGGTTTCGGGATTGCAGTGTATCATAAACCAAATTCTTCCACACGTTTTTGTTCAAGATCCGCCGCCCAGAAGGGATGATCTTGGATTGGATGAAATTCCAGAACATCCGGAACTGCATGATGTCCGACAACCAACGGTAGAATCAGACAATCTAGTTGATTTGTTAAGGTAATATTCGATGCCTACAAATAAAGCAAACATTCAGAACATAGGGGATTCTGGTTTGTGGAACAGTTCAAAAAAATTCATCCAACCTGGTTATCGCTTCAAACAACCTACACTCCCGAACTACACTTACCCAAATCAAGGGAGAAGTGTAGGATCGGTTGAGCCGCCCGCGTACTATCGTCGACCACAACGGGTGGCCGACTGGAAGATTCATAAATACGCTGGGAATGATGAAGGGACTGTACTGAATGAGTTTTTAGAAACTGTTCACCACTATGCGGAATCAGAGCAGATTTCGGAAGAGGAACTTTTTAATTCAGCGATGCACTTGTTCATCGGGAATGCTCTGCCATGGCGTGGTATAAGCACAAACGAAGTGACAGACGGAGCGGCTCGAAAACTTTGGTGACTAACCTGCTATTTCAATTTTTCAGTGTACCACATGGCAACACCACTACTACTGGATTGTACCACATGGCAACACTACTACTGGATTGTACCAGTATTTCACCAAATGTATTAGAATGTTTTGGTTCTATCTCTTTCACTCTACTCAAAACTGAAATGCATAAAAAAATGACAAAATGATACACTCTTTGCACACTGTCAAAGAATCATTGTACACAAAATCAACTTTGTTCAAATCAAAACAAAAAAACTAACCCATCTGGTGGCTGATGGCACAAGCTTCCAAGAAAATTCTATTACAGTGAACCACATTATTTTAATTAATTTCTTCTCCAGTTAGTCCCCGAATAGAAATTGTAATGTAGGAAACATCAGCAGACATCTTCAATACATTAAATTTTAACGTGTATTGCTGTAACCTTAATGTATTCAGACTTCAGTGTGACGTCCAAGTACATAAAAATACATTAGCCTCAAACGTTACATCAGAATCAAACGTCTTGACGATGTAAAATTTGACATCAGAATACATCCAATGACAACAGAACCTAACGTTACATTAGAATCAAACATCATCACGATGTAATTTGTTGCACGCATAAAACATCAGAATACATCCAATGACAACAGAACCTAACGTTACATTAGAATCAAACTTCATCACGATGTAATTTGTTGCACGCATAAAACATCAGAATACATCCAATGACAACAGAACCTAACGTTACATTAGAATCAAACTTCATCACGATGTAATTTGTTGCACGCATAAAACATCAGAATACATCCAATGACAACAGAACCTAACGTTACATTAGAATCAAAGTTCATCACGATGTAAATTGTTGTCCCTCGGTCTCTCGCCGCATGCAAAGTTTGTTTTGTCCTGAGTCAGCACTACACGGCGAATGAGAACGACCCTAATTTGAGGTTAGTTCACTCATAAATCGCAAAAAGTGCAGGAACTCAGTTTTGAATTAATTTCCCTCATGTTCCGAATATGAGAAAAGCAAAGATTGGATTCTCTGGATTCTCGTAAATTTTCCAGATTTTTGAGGTTTTCCACAGGAAAACATGCGGCAAATTTACTCATCCTGCACTTTTTTCGATATTGAGTACACTGTACTCAAATATGCG